ACAGATGGAGATTTGCAGCCCAGAGACCAGGTGAGATCAGCACCAGTTGCCTCCCCTTTGCAGCAGAGAGGCCAGAGATTGAAGGGGCCAGTAATGCCGGGTGCTCCAGCCAGCTGCCTCGCCCAGTGGCTGCCCTCACCGTACCTGATAAGCAGCAGCTTAATTCTAATCCTCCGGGAACCACTGGATCTGCAGTTCGACCCAGAACTGGGGACCCTTTGCATCGCCAGCACTGATCAATCATTAACAGGTCCGGCTCCCTCCTCCACCCTGCCCTCAGGGAAGCCGGGTGAGTCAGAGACCCCCCCCCCCGGCTGGGCATCTCCCCACCTGTCCGGAGGAGATGGGCGGCGAGCTAGATTCCAGGTTCTTCCCCTGGCTTTTGGAGCAGGTGCGCTGGGCAGGGCGAATGGCACAAAGGCGGCACCGCACGGACGGAGAGGGAGGGTGGAGAGGTGCCAAGTAACCTGACCTTCCCCCGACAGGTAATCGGGAGCGGAAGCCCAGCCCCACCCCGGCTTGCTCAAACAAACCCGGCGCAGGCAACGCAGCTCGGTTGGTTTCAGAGAGGATCGGGCCCTTCCGTCTTAACCGGTTCAGCCCAGGGCAGGGATTTACACTGGGACGTTACAACCCCTACCCCAGTTCATTGTTTGCAGACGCCTCCAGGGGCGGAGAGGAACTGAATTCCATGGCTGGATTGCCAACGCCAGACAGACACGGCCTGCTCTGTTCACGAGCGGGGAGGGAAAGAGGTGCCGGGAAACGCAATCCCTCTGGGGTCAGGGCGCAGCGCAGGGGCCAGGGAAGCACCCAGCGCGGTGGCAGTAGCCCCAGGTTAGAGATGGGGAAAATGAGGGGCAGAAAGGGGAAGTGACTTGTCTAAAAAACAAAAACAAAAAATTGCTGCGACCGTGACAGAGCCAGGCATAGAACCCAGGGGTCCTGCCTCCCTGCTCTAACCACTAGACCCCACTCCCCTCCCAGAGCCAGGAATAGAACCCAGGAGTCCTGGCTCTCCCAGGAGAGTCCCCCTGAGCTAACCTGCACTTTCCCTGCACAGAACTGGAAATATCTGAGTCACAGTCCTGCTTTTTAGCCTCAAGACCATCTCAGCCCTACAGGCTAGAGGGAGCTGAGAAGGCTTTAGGGGTCGAATTTCCTTCACAAACTGGCTGGCTGATGGCAGATATGGGAAGAAAAGCAAAGAGCTCCAGAAAGCACTGGGATTTCCCTAAAGGGTTTAATCGGACTGTCCCCATCAGCAGGGATGAGAAGGAACGCTGGTTGCATTACAGCCAAACAATGGAGGCTCTAATCCTGCCACATTCAACTATTGAAACTTACCATTAAAGAGGCCGGATCTTTTTAACCCCACCCCTCTTAACTGTGCTCTCACTACGCCGATCTGTCTGAAAATTAAGAAGCAGGCTCTTGTACCTGCAAAGGAAATTTCCTGGAAAGTTGGAGGGACATTTAATGAGATGTTTGTGGGAAGACAGATGATTTAACAAAAAAAAAGTGATTTTGCAATATGCACGCACAGCAGGTATGGCAGCCCGTCTAGTGACAACAGGAAGGATAGTAGTCTACTACAGCTAACAGCTGAAGGAGTTCCCCTTTCAGCTCAAGGGGTAGCACACTGTGCTGTGGATTTTGATTGTCCTGAGTTCAAGTCCCATTGTGAACTCACGCAAGGACGACTTTCATAGCCCGGGCATTTGCTTTTGCAGTTCTGCCAGCTACAGACCCCAGCTAAGATCAGGGCCCACATCATGATGGGCATTGCCCAGATACCCACCAAAATCAGGGCTTCCATCGCACTGCCCAGACCCCGACCGAGATGCGCCCTGCCCGCATCATGCTCCAATAACCTTACTCTGTGAACAGCCAATGGGTCTGGTGCAGTGGACCAGAGTAGGTGGGTTATTTGGGTATTGAGCAGTTTAAGGCAGACATTGGGAACACTGTAGGTTTACGTGAGTGTACGTACCAACCAGTCTGTGGACCGAACAGAGGGCTGGGAGCCAGGGCTTCCCGAGTGCTATCGCTATCTCTGCAGTCTCCTATGGGCTTTTTCCACAGATGGGGAGGATCTGGCTTGAAGCCCCCTTTGCTCTCCCCACATTCTGGGCCTGGCCCAGCTCCCAGCAAAAGTCAGAGCAACCCCGAGGCTGCTCTAACTCACATACTCACTGGGCCCTGGGGAGCAGAGAAATGGGCATAGCGCAGTGTGCTCCAGCCATGCCCTCGAGCCGCCCCCTAGGCCAGACTGCTGGGCCCTAATGCTAGTTCTACCTAGGCTGGAGAAGACCCCTGCAGGGGTAGGGGTGGGAGAAGGCTGCTTTTCCCACTTTAAGGGCCATTTATGCTGCACAGAGCAGCTCGAGTGTAATTATCCAAAGGAATGTCAAGAGGCCTCTTGATGCTGGTCTATAAGTACCTACACAGGCGGCAGATTTCTGCAAGCGGAGGGCTCTGTAAACCAGCAGACAAAGGCTGATGTAGATCTGGACGAATTCAGACAGTAAACAAGATGCAAATGTTTAAAGAGAGAGGGAATTAACTGTAGGAACTACTGACCCAGGAACAGGGGGTTGGGGGGAGTAATCAAGATTGGACAGCATTTAATCCACTCTAGCTCGACCACCAGATAGGGGCTGGATGGGACTCTCTGGACTGGGCTAAACAGCCTATATAGCCCCACTGACGCACCAGGACCCATTTGTGCCAAGCATATTAGGTGTACTACGGTAGCAGCAAGGAGCCCCAGCCATGGGCAAGACCCCCATTGTGCTAGGCGCTGCATAAAACACAGAACAAAAAAAAAAAGAGAAAAAAAAAAAGACAGTCCCTTCTGGCCACAGACTATGAGAACTGAGCAATTTTCCTTTCATTCACACTTGTGAATCTCCAAGCTAGAATCCGGCCCCTGAGAGACCCACAGACCTTCCCCTCTGCCCCATTTCACCCCAGAGGAGGAGGAGACCGAAAGGAGCCAAGACCGCTGTAGATCTATAGGGTTCAGGGCGACGCCTGCCTTCCTGGGAGATGTCAGACAAGACAGGGAGTCCCCCGCAGGGCACGAAAGGCTAATCAATTTATCATACTTCTATCGCATGATACACCTTACATGCCCCTAGGCACTGCATCTTCACACACACCCTCTCCACAGCTGACCTTCATGTTGCAAACAGTTTTAGACAGGTAAGGCACCCCTAGAATTCCGGTGCCCCATGGCACTTGCTTACGGTGCCTAATTGGAAATCCGGCCCTGTCTGTAGTGCCCAGCACTGTATGAGCTGAGGGTCTTACAATTCCTTTGTGAGGTAGAGAAGTGGCATTACCCTGCCAGTATACAGATGGGGAAACTGAGGCACGGAGCAGCTAAGTGACTTGGCCCAGGTCACACAAGAAGGCGGTGGCAGAGCTAGGACTTGAACGCAGGTTTGCCGCGCCCAAGGCTAGTGCCCTGACCCCTGGCCCGTGCCTTGACCCCTGGCCCAGCCATCCTTCCTCCCATAGAATCACAGAATATCTAGTCCAACCCCTTGCTCAAAGCAGGACCAATCCCCAACTAAATCAAAAGTGGTAAATCCCAGAGCTGGTTCTGCTGCATCCACAGAGCGGGGGAGAGTCTGCAATCAAGGATATCCCTCCGTGGTCTCTTCGAGCCTCGCTGGTTGCGCCGAGACAAGAGGAGAGGCGGCTGTGGCCCTGCGCTCATCCATTCCAGCCACGGGGCGCCACGTTTTCCCCACGGCGAGCAGCAAGCTCCAGCGTGTCACCCGACAGCCTTCATGCCCGAATACAGCCGGTGCACAGGAGAACCGAGGGGGTGGGGTGCACACATGGGCCAACCCGGGCTCTTAGCCACTCACCGACGAAGGTATTAAGAAAGTCGGATTTGTGTGATAAAGGCCAGATTCCCAGGGGGTGAAAATCCGTATGGACGCCAATGGAGCAAAGGCCTGTTCACCCCAGCTGGGGATCTGGCTCCTCCATACCTGGCTCTCGGAGCAGCATGGTGCATTTCGGCAGGACTTGCCATCAGGGGATCTCCCAGCGCTTCACGTACGTTTGTGAACGAAGCCTCCCCGGGAGATGGATGTACGACATTTCTCCCCATTTTACTGACGGGAAAACTGAGGCATGCAGCAAAGACGTGACTCGCCCAACACTCAAGATCGAGTGAGTGGCAGGCATAGAACCCAGGCGTCCTTACTCTTGGGCTTTGAGCATGCTCTCTTCTCAGATCCGGGCTTATAGATCCCAGGGGGCCTGACTCCCAGCCCCTTCTGCTCTAACCACGAGACCCCACTCCCCTCCCAGAGTCCGGAATAGAACCCAGGAGTCCTGGCTCCCAAGACCACGCCCGAAGCTCAAAATTATCTGAATACCATTAGCCTCCAGCCACCAATTCCCCTGGTATTCCTGGTTTTTGTGCTGGATTCCCCACTGGACCCCAGGTATCCACCTCCCGTCCATCTGGAGGCGCTCCAACCATACTCCAGTTCCCCATCGGCTCCGGCTTAGAAAGCACATCACTGGGGCAGGTCTTCACTACGGGGGGGGGTCGATTTAAGATACGCAAATTCAGCTACGCGAATAGCGTAGCTGAATTCGACGTATCGGAGCCGACTTACCCCGCTGTGAGGACGGCGGCAAAATCGACCTCCGCGGCTCCCAGTCGACGGCGCTTACTCCTACCTCCGCTGGTGGAGTAAGAGCGTCGATTTGGGGATCGATTGTCGCGTCCCGACGAGACACGATAATTCGATCCCCGAGAGATCGATTTCTACCCGCCGATTCAGGCGGGTAGTGTAGACCTAGCCACTGATGGGTGGTGGATTAACAAGCCCTTAGCTGCAGCAGTTAATGCCCAATCCCTCCCCCCATCAAACGCACAATTTCACCTCCCACGCACCCAGGGGCTAAGGCAGGGGCAGAGCGCACAGGTGTGAACGGGAGGCAGGGGGCAGCGGCCGGCTGAGCCGAGATCTCAGCCCGGGGAAACGGGCACAGCGGCACAAGAGAGTTCAGAAGCAGAAATGTAACCGATTCCTCAAGCAGCAGCAAGGAGCCACCAGCGAGGTGGAATGACCCGCCCCTGCCTTTATTAGAGTTCACCGCGTTTAAATGAATGGGTTTGAACATAGGTAGGAGCAGGCGAGCCCGCCGCACGCTTCTGAAGTGCTCAGGGTGCTTTGCCAACGGATAGAACTCCTGCCATGTCACAGCCAGGGAAACTAAGGCACTGGGAGGTGGAGGGAGAGTCCCTTAAGGTCACATGGTGAAGCAGGAGCAAGAATGGGGAGTAGGAAGCCAGGAGTTCTGGCTTCCTATCCCCCTGCTCTAACCACTAGGCCCCGCACTCCCCTCCCAGAGCCAGGAATAGAACCCAGGAGTCCTGACACCCTGGCCTTTCGCGCTAACCACTAGACCATGCTGCATCCGGTCCAAGTCTCCGCGCCTTCGTACAGATGACCCCAGAGGCTGCTCTTCTCCTCCCGTGCGGGTGAGACGCTCTTGGACTCGGCTCTTCCCATCCTGCGGCGCGCTGGGAGAACGGGGTCTCCGCAGCCTTCCACGTCCGGGCCTCCCTACCCCCTCGTTAACTGCACGTTTCACAGCACCGTTCTCAGGCAAGAGCCTGGGCGGGAGGGAGGGAAGCAAACTCCTCCCCTCACTTCCCCCTGCCCAGGAAAATGGCCGTTTTCAGCACCTTGGGGACGTGGCGGATGGTGAGCGACACCCGGGTTCCCCGGCGCAGCTCGTCCCCGAGCGCCGCGCTGCAGCCCGCCACGTTGGCCACTTTCTCCGTGATGGCGTCGGAGGTGGCGGGTCGGATCCCGTGCAGGTAACGGACGTACATGTCCTCCCGCAGGACCAGGAGGCTGCGCGGCTCCAGCAGCAGGGACAGGAAGTGGCGCTGCTCCTCTGTCTGGGGCGCGGGGACCTGAGAAAGGACAGCGGAGCACGTTCAGAACCAAACCTGGCCCCTTCTGCAGCTGCTTCCACGGGAGGCTCTCAAAGCACCCGAAGGATGTTAGTAGTTTAAGCCACACAACCCCCCTGGATGTTTACAGCACCACCCCCGTCTTCCAGATGGGGAAATGGAGGCACAGACAGGGCTTTGCCTAAGACCACACAGTGAGTCAGCAGCAGGACTGGGGAACAGAACCCTGGAGTCCTGATTCTCAGCTGCCCCTGCCCCCCACCTCTAACCACTAGAGCTCACTCCACTCTCAGAGCTAGGAACAGAAGTCCTGATTCTCAGGCCTCTCCCACGTGTTCTAACTACTACATATCGCTCCCCTCCCAGAGCTGGGGATAGAACCCATGTCCATGTGGACAAACTGGAGAAAGTCCAGAGAAGAGCAACAAAAATGATTAAAGGTCTAGAAAACATGACCTATCAGGGAAGATGGAAAAACTGAGTTTGTTTAGTCTGGAGAAGAGAAGACTGAGAGGAGACGTGATGACCGTTTTCAAGTACATAAAAAGGTTGTTACAAGGAGGAGGGAGAAAAATTTTTCTCCTTAACCTCTGAGGACAGGGCAAGAAGCAATGGGCTTAAATTGCAGCCAGGGAGGTTTAGGTTGGACAGTAGGAAAAACTTCCTATCAGGGTGGTTAGGCACTGGAATAAATTGCCTAGGGAGGTTGTGGAATCTCCATCATTGGGGATTTTTAAGAGCAGGTTAGACAGACACCTGTCAGAGATGGTCTAGATAATACTTAGTCCTGCCAGGAGTGCAGGACTAGACGACCTCTCGAGGTCCCTTCCAGTCCTCTGATTCTGTGATCTCCCATAAGGTGGGCAGGGGGTGCATCCATGCGCACCTATAAGTGCATCACCCATAAACTGTATGAGAGAGAGAGGAGGAGAAGGGAGGTGTATGTGTGTCCTGCTGTAGCAGTTTCTAAGCCGGATGAGTTAAAGCACCGCAAGATCCGTGCGCAGACCAGCCCTGCCCCAGCTTAGCTTCATGCACACCAGGGATCCCACCGCAGGGAACACAATATGGTTATTGGTTTCCCCGTAGCGCCTCAGGCAGAGACTTTTAAAGCTGCCCAAGAGATCTGGCCCTCAGATTAAAATGAGCAGGAACTGGTTACCCCAATCCGCTGATCAGGCTCCATTGCCCGCGGCGCTGAGCACACAGAGTGAACAGACAGTCTCTGTCCAGCTCAGGTCCTTCGCTACCACAATGATGGGCAGCAGCTGAGTGCCTCACAGAAATGGATTTACCCTCACAACCCTCTACAGGAAGCAGGGGGGTTCTACTGGGGCAGGGGCTGCCTTTCTGTTCCGGGTTTGAACAGCTCCCAGCACAATGGGGGTTCCTAGTCCAGCACTGGGGCACCTAGGCGCTACCGTAATACACCTAATAGCAATAAAAATGTACAGCTCCCGGCACAATGGGGGCTCCTGGTCCATGACTGAGGTGCCTAGGCGCTACC